ATTATAGATATAAAGTATTTATTAGAAATAATAAGATAATTAGTAAGATTATTAAAGTAGATTTCTAGCTTATTTATATTAGTTAAGCTAAATAAAAATAAAGTTTTTATAAATATAATATAGAATTATACTTATCTAATTAGTATTCTTATTATTATAGATTTAATAAAGAATATAGATCTAATACTAAACTAGATATTAATTTAACCTTTAGTAGTTTTATTAAGTTAAATACTATTATTAGTTTATTATAAAGCTTGAAATTAGTTAGAACTAGTAATTAAGAATCTAGAGACTCTAATATTAATTATAACTTTATAAAAATAGTAAATATTATATCTTAATATATTATTAATTATAAATATCTAGGTATTTTCTATCTATTTAATAGGCTCTAAGATATGATTTTTATTTATTATCTAGTATATAAGGGAAAGAAAAGTAAGGTTATTTATAAGGGTATTAGTTATAGAAATAATAAAAGTAGGGGCTATAAAAATAACTAGGAAGCTCTTAATAGAAATAAAGTAGAAATTAAAGTAATATTTTTTTTTTTTTATTTCTGCTAGTAAGGCTTTAAAAGTATTACTTACTAGTTTATCTTTATTATTCTTATTATTTTTTTCTTTTTTAAATTCGGTAATATATTATATATAAGTATTACTAAAGTATTTATTAAAGTTATAAGTATTTTGGAATCTAAATTAGTAAATATTTCTATTTTTAAATTAAGCTTTCTTAGTTTCTTATTTCTTTAGTATATACTTTTATAAATAGTATTCGGGTCTCTTATATATAAAATATAACTTTAGAATATACTTATTATAATTACGGGGCTTAGAGTAATTATTACGGGTTCCGAAATTATAGCTAGGTCTATATTAATAATTTTTAAATAAGTAATAGTTTAAAGAATTTTAAGAATAGTATTATTAATTAATAAAGAAGATCTTAGTATTAATCTATTATTTCTTCTTATAAGTAGTAATAGATAATTAGAGTTTATTAATAAGTTAGCTAAGATTAGGAAAAGAATCCGAAATTATATATTAGTATACTAATATACCTTAATAAGAAATAATAATCTTATTATATAGAAATTTAGTATTTTATAGGACAGGTATTAGTTTATATTATAATTTATATAGGTTATTAATTAGTAACTAGATAAGCTTAAATATTATTTTTTTAGAGTATTAAGCTATTATAATTACTATTATAGTAGTATTTTACTTATCTAAGTTTTAATATTAGAAACTAGGGCTTTTAAAAAAACTATAAATATTTATATAGGCCTCTTTATATATATATTAAGAGAGCTAGTTATTATAAAAGTAATTTTATACTAGTTCTTTTAATATAATAGGAAAAGCTCTTACTAATATCTCTTATAAAAGCTTTATATATTAATAAATATTAAGGAAGATAGCAAGTTTTTAGTTAAAACTATTATTAGTTTTATTATATTTCTATATCTTAATATATATCTTTACTATTTCTCTAATTAGCTTTATAGTAAGAAAGCTAGCTAAAGGGCTATTTAAAAATAATAGAAATAATAGAAATAGTAGAAATCCGTTACTATTAGCTTTTTATAGTCCGGTACTAGTAAGAGTAATTATAAGTAATAATTAGTTTAGTTTATTAATTTCTTATAATACTATTATTAAAAAATATATATAATAAGATAATAGGGCCCGTATTAAGGTCTAGTCTAGTAATAATAATATTAGCTATAGTTTAGATATATTACTTTTTTTTCTAAATAGTATTAACTAAGGATTATATAATAGTAAGTCTTTTATTATTTTATTTAATATAAATACTACTATATTATAAAGTAGCTCGTAATTTATATAATATATATTAATCTAGATAATTAAATACTTTAAGGTTAAAATTACTAAAATTCTTCTTAAATAATTCCCAGAGATTATTATTAGTCGATTTCTTTACCTTATACTAGAATAGTCTAATATTAAGATAATCTAGAACTTTCTTATTACTATAGGTAATTAGATTAATATTACTTTTTTATTTTTTTATTTATATATATTTATTTTATAGTTCTATTATACTAAATCTCTAGGATTAAGCCCTTTTTAATATATATATATAATTCGTAATAAGAAAGGTTTAAAAATAAGGTAGTTTATAGTAAGTTTATAGAAAGGGTTTAGTAATAAAGATATCTAAATACCTGGTTTAGATATTAGATATTCTAGATATCTAGGAATATTATAGGTATTAAAGTAAATATTTTGCTTTTAAATATTTTATCTATAATAAGAAATTTAGGAAATAAAATATTATAATTCCGGGAAAGTCTAAAGCTTAAAGAACTTAATTTAATAGTAAAATTAAAGTAGTAATTAAAGAGCTTTAAGGATATATATAAAGTATATATTTTAGAGAAAGTATTTTATAAATACGGGTATTATATAAATAGAAAAGATAAGTTCTAAGAAAGTAGTTTTGGGACTAAAAGAAGTTAGTTTTAAAAAATAATAGATAATTAAATAAATAGATAATTAAATAGCTAATTACTTATTAATTAGTAAAAACTAAAGTTTTCTCTTTTAGGCTACCAGATACTTTATAAAATTAATAAGTAATTTCCTCTTTTAATAAAGTAGTTATTAGTTTTTAGTAAAAGCTAGCTATTTTTTTCCTTAGGCTACCGGATATTTTATAGAGTTAATAAATAATTCCTCTCTTTAATATAAACTAGTTTAATTTTATTATAGGCTACCGGATATTTCTTTAGCTTAAAAGATTCTATTCTCTAATCTATATATATAAACTAATTAGTATTAGTTTACTAGTAATATATAGTATTATTATATAAATATAGAAGTATTATTTATATAAGGTTAGTAAAGTTATTATTATTTAGAAATAAGAATTATAGTATTATAGTATTAATATATAATTCCTAAATCTACTAAGCCTAAAAGGGTCTAGTCTACTAGTTAAATTACTAATAAGATGCGAGATTATATAATTATATCCCGTATTTTATATCCTATTATCTATATTTTATTACTTATATCCCGTATCCTATATCTCATAACTATATATATAATTCCTAAAGAAATAGCTATATTAATAATAAGTTATTATTATTATTTATGGCTTTTATTTCTTTTACTTTTATTTCTTTTACTTTTATTATTTATATTACTTTATTATATATATATATATATTTAAAGCTTTTTTTATTATTTATTATATTTATTTTTTATAAATTAGTTTATTTTTTTATTTATAATACTAATTATAAAATAAAATAAAATATATAAAATCTTATAACTAGTAATTTTAAAAAATAATTTAATTATATAATAAGATTATATAAATTAATTATAAATTAAAAATTTAAAAAATTTCTAAAAAAAATTTCTAAATAAAACCTAATAAACTTATAAATTCTTATAAGTTATTTTATTTTTATAATTTTAATTAAAAACTTTTAATAAGTAAAAAATAAATAAGAAATAAATAAGAAATTAAATATAAAGCTTATATTTCAATTTTATTTATAAAATATTAATATTATATAAATAAAATGAATTCTAATAAAATATATACTAATAAATAAAACTAGTTATTTGCTTTTTATTTATATTATAATTAATAATTCTTTTATAAGATTTCTAATAATTTATGAAATAAAATAAAGTTTATAAATTATAAATTAAATAATTTAATTAATTTAATTAATTTAAGCTTTTTTTATATATTAATAAAAAATTTATAATAAAAATAGCTTTCTATTTAAATATATATATATATTTATATTTTTATATAATAATTATATATTTAATATATTAATTATTTTATTTAATATATTAATTATTTTATATATTAATTATTTTATTTATTTATTAATTATTTTATTTATTAATTATTTTATTTATTAATTATTTTATTTATTAATTATTTTATTTATTAATTATTTTATAATATATATATTAATTAGTTCTTTTTTATTATAATTTAATAAAGTACTTTTAGCTATTTAATTATCTAATTCTTAACCCTTTTAGTTAATTAACTACCTAACCTTTTAGCTAATTAATTGCTCTAATTTTTCGGCCGATTAACTGCCCTTAATATTTTAGGCCAATTAACTGCCCTAACCTTTCGGCCAATTAAACTGCCCTAATCTTTCGGCCGATTAACTGCCCTAATCTTTCGGCTAATTAAGCCCTTAATATTTTAGGCCAATTAACTACCCTAATCTTTCGGCCGATTAACTGCCCTTAGCTCTTCTTTACTATAACTTAGTAAAGCGCTTTCGGCCGATTAACTGCCTAATTCTTCGGCCAATTAACTGCCCCTAATTTTTCGGCTAATTAACTGCCTAATTCTTCGCCTAATTAACTGCCCCCTAATCTTTCGGCCGATTAACTGCCCTTAATCTTTCGGCCGATTAACTGCCCTAATTTTTCGGCCGATTAATTGCCCTTCTTATTTTCTTAATTAATAATATTTCTTTACTGTAATTTAGTAAAGAAGAGGGTATGGTCGTTACCCAGAATTCAAACCTTTATTGGGCCAGGTCCTTATGTAGCGACCTTGGCTAAGGAGAGTTAGGGCTGACTAAGCGTGCATGCTTGTGGTGAGAGTTTTGGTGTTCCTGTCCGAGCGCCTCTACTTTGGGACCGTGGCCCCCAATCGACACCCGGGGGTGGTCGTTTTACTTTTTCCCAAAACATCGGGAAAGTATGGAACTTGAACCCCACGTGAGATAGACTTCTCTTGGCTTGGGTAGATGCAATATCGATGAGCAGTCACTCTCATAAAAGATCGACAGCAAGAAAGGCTTACACTCGAGCGGCACGCCATTGGCAAAGTCTGCGGCAGCGCACTCAAGGTCGAGCATGTTGTTTGCATTTATATCTGAAGCCAATTCGAATCCGTTGTTGTTTTTGAATAAAGTTTTGAATAGAATCTGATGAGGTGAGAATTGACTATGCGTTCAAAACCAAACAGGTCGGACGGTGATATGAAAACATTGTGAAGCTCTCGCTTATCGATTAAAACTCAGGGGCTCAAAGTCACGAGATTCACCGGCTCTCCCCTCACAAAACCCTCGATATTCTCCTTCACAATCCTTTGCAAATTCTCCAAGCTTGCATCAGCATACCACGCAATATGAGGCGAAAGAGTCAAGTTTGGAGGAGTCTCTGAAATCAGCGGATTCGCTGAAGTGGCGGGCTCAATCTCAAACACGTCCGTCGCTGCATTCGCGATTGTTCCTTCCTTCAGTGCCTTTACCAATGCCTTTTCGTTCACCACCCCTCCTCTTGCAACATTAATCAGACTAGCTGTTGGCTGCATCATCTTCAATTCCCCCTCTCCGATCATATCCCGTGAAGTCTCGTCCAGCGGACAGCCGATCATCAGCACTGTGGATTTTTGGAGTGTGTCAACGAAAGATGTACGGCCAGGGCGAAGACTTGCCACACTTTTCCGATCGGCGATTAGGACCGTCATAGACAATGCTTTCGCGATTTTTTCGATGTGTTTCCCTGCATTAATTAGTCAATGAGTAGAGAAATCAAGTTGAAGTCCTCACCTAAAGCTCCATATCCAATTATCCCCATCGTTTCATGGCGAGCTACTCGAGGGAGATGCGGGTACATTCCAAAGACACTACTCTTAACAGGCCACTCCTCTGCCTTCAAGGTCATGAGATGCATATCCACGATGCGTCTTTTGGCTGCATAGTATAGCGCAAATGCATGCTCGGCCACTGCTTCCGAGGAACTCGCTGGGCAGTTGCTGACTGCAATATTATGTTTCCGGCACTCAGTTATATCGATGGTGTTGTACCCAATTCCCATAACTGCGATAAATTGAAGATTAGGACATTGTGAGACGACTTCCGAAGTCAAATGTACTCGTGTTACGATGATGATGGTTGCATCTTTGACGCGCTCAAGAACCAACTCTGGCGGGGTGTTGTCATATTCGTGATATTCGTGAGGCATGGAAAATGGAGGCACTGGGCAGAGAAAGGCATCGAGGCAGACTATCTTGTGAATTTGCGCTTGTGTACTTATGGAACCTATGCTGACCCCAAAACAGCGAACGTAAGCAATACTGAGAAGTATAGCAGAGAGGTTAAAACAGAGGATCGATCGATGATCTGAAGAATCAGCAAGGAGTAAGACGAGGCTTCTCGCTCATGCAGCCTTGTCGAAGGTTCGGTGAAGGGATGGATATTTGTCCGGTAGGGGTGGGTAATCCAAGCGCCAAGACATCCCACCTTTGCCAACTCTCTCGGTCTTTCCCGGAGGAATCATGGCTACCGATAGAGTGGACGACTCCGACAATGAGGGTCCTAACTCTCTTCTAGCACGCTTTGAACTTATTGTTACGAGCGGAGGCAAATTTGTACATACGAAGACTGGAAGAATTTATGTCTTATCTTCACTTCTATGGGTTAGCCCCCCTTTTTCGTAAGTGGGATGTTTTAGCGAGTCAGTTGTAAGTGAAGAATCCTTGCACAAACATCCCCACTTGCGTCTTCGGCGATCGGACCGTTAATGGCCGTTGTGATAAGGATGCCGCCGCCGGGCATGTACCAGTTCAATGGTTCACCTCGCAAACTTCAGCTTCGTTGTTCTTTCCTCCCTTTTGCGAGTCCGACCGAAAATCCGCTGATCCTGCGCATCTAGAGAAGAAAGTAGAGGAGATGGATTCTGATGCTTCTGGGATATCACCGTCGGACACCCACTTTGCTCACCGCAGCCCTGACACCGCCTTCGCCTCGGTACCGCGGAGACGGCCGCCGGGGGGGAAAGCATGCTCTCAATGCCATAGGCAGAAGCAAAGGGTAACTCATATTGCCTTCATTTAATGGTAGCTGACCATACAAGTGCAACAAAGGACAGCCATGCTCCAATTGTATTCGGCGTGGCATTCCAGATGCTTGTATATACCTGAGCCGCCAGGAGCGCAGAACTCGACGACAAATTGAAGAAACTCCAATCCCACGACGGGAGTCCCATCCGGAAACCTCTGCTGCCAGTGCTCTTAGATTATTGTTTGAGCCAGTTCACCGCCAGCAGGCAGTACCCTCCAACACCAGGCCGGTGTCTCACCACCTCGGCCGCCTCTTCAAGGCAAGAGGAGCTCCATCATATCACGGAGACTCCTACTTCGGTCACCAGTCTGCTGCCGTGATGATGGAAGCCTCAGCTCCTGCGATGTCGGGAGGTCCAGATGCTGGTCTCTCACGTCGAGCTCGGACAGGAGAAACTCAACCTTTCAGAAGCGAGCGAGGTCCATACGCTCACATTTGGGAGCTAGTTGGAAGCCTGCCACGACAGAAAGCTGTTGTGGACCATTTAACTAGGAGATTCTTCGACGAGCTGAATCCGACATTTGATGCCGTCCACGAAGGGACATTTCAGATCAGCTATGCAAAGTTCTGGGACCGCAAGTGCGGCTTTGACGGTTTGTCTTCGATGGATGTTCGTTGGCTCTCACTCCTGTTCATCATACTTGCCTTTGGCGAACTGCTAGGCTGTGCACAGCCATGCTCACCTGAAGCTCAGAGAGCTTGCGAAGAATCATCTCTGCACTTTTATTGGTCTGCCAGGAAAGCAGTCGTCATTGCACCGTCTTTCTTTGGTGAGACTCCCGATCTCGTCCGGGCCGGAATTCTCATTACTCGGTATCTGATGTATACGCGGAGACTGTCAGAAAGTTGGTTGACTATCTGCTTTGCCGTGCGGATGGCGCAAGCTCAAGGCATGCACGTCGACGGAGAGCAACTCGGACTACCTCGCAAGAATACGGAAACCCGGCGAAGGCTATGGAGCCAGCTCTACGTTCTGGAGCGAATGATTGCTCTGGCCTTGGGACGTCCGAACACAATAAATGATAGACATTGCGGGTTCACAGAGGCTGTGAACATATGGGTTGACGACATGACCAACGAGGATGCCAGGAAAGCTGTTCCCAAGTCATTCGACGAGCCAACTCCAGCAACATTCAGCGTCTTCAATCGCCAACTTGCAATTATCGTTGGAAACATTCAAGAAGAGTGCTTCTCACTGTTTGCGATCTCACACGATACCTCCTACGACGAGATTTTGGAGCATGATGTACGTCTCCTAGCATGGAAGGACAAACTTCCTTCGTACTTCAGGCTCGAAGATCCGGATACGTCCCATGACGCCCTGCAACCATACATTGCTTGGCACCGCCTGTACCTGCACGCTGCCTACCATTTCACAAGGATTACTCTTCATCGTTCATACCTCCTTCGAACTTCATTTACGGGTCGGTATCAATATAGTCGAGCTGCCTGCTTGTCCTCTTCTTGCGCAGACCTGCGAACCAAGCTCGCATTCCGAAATCCAAGCATGGGTGACCGACTACGATACAACATCTCTGTGCATCAATTATTCAACACCGCTCTCATTTTAGGTGTCATCGTTGTTCGCGATCCGCATGGTCCGCAAACGGAGCCGATCCTAGATGACTTGCAAGCGTATTGCAGCAAGCAGAATTCAGACACTTGGGCCAATGATTTTGATCTTGCTGAGGTGAGGGTGATAGAGCTTTGCATCTCGCGGGCTCGGCAGAGCAGGAATCAAGGTCCGGGATTTACTGGGAACAGGACAACGACGTCTTTGATCGAGTCAAGTCAAACATTTTCAGCTGCCACTGCTCATCCGTTGACACTGGAGTATGTCGCGAATCCGGTACACCAAGACCCGTACCCAGACATTCCGGGTTATGGTGGCGGTGAAGACCAATACGGCCGGGAAGTATGGTCAGATATGTGGTCTAATCCTGGTTACTATTTCCCTGAGCCCATGGGTAAGTTGTTGGGAAAGAAGAACGTTTATTTTCCGAACAGTCTCACAGTCTTTTCGTCAGACTTTTGTAGTTCCAAGTCTCTTTACTAGCAATTGCTAACTCTCGTTTACCCAGATTATCTGATATGGAAGGATTTGGTGGATGATCTCGCAGGAAAGTGAAGCTCTACTTCGTTTCACAGAGCCGACAGCTGTCTTCGATACTGAAAGGGATTGTTTTGCGGAGACCTCGGGATACTGATAATATTTCTTCTGCCAAAGGACACTTTCACTCAAGTACAACAGGAGCCTCTTGTGCAATCGGATTTACCAAAGTCCCCAACCCATGACTGATCGACAACCTCAAAACAGAACCTTCCTTCAGATACAAGGGAGGGCTATGGCTATGTCCAATACCGCTCGGTGTCCCCGTCAAGATGACCGTACCAGCCTTCAAAGTCGTTCCCTATCCCACCGTCAGCTCATTATTTCCACTGAGGACTCAAAATTGGGACTTACCACGGACAAATATGAAATAATCTCCGCAACACTGAAAATCATATTCTTCGCAGGCTTATCCTGCATAACCGCCCCATCCAATGTCGTCTTCAGCCACAACACAGACGGATCCGGGATGCTCTCCGCTGACACAATCGTGGGTCCCATAGGAGCAAATTGATCGAATCCTTTTGAATAACCCCATTGCGAGCCTCTTGTTTGTACAACACGAGCAGTGACGTCGTTGGATGTCATGTATCCAAGCACGTAGTCGAGTGCGTGGCCGACAGAGACGTTCTTGCAGTCTTTCTTGATGATGACGGCGAGCTCTACCTCGGGATCTGCTTGGCCTGCTGCTTCGTGTGGAATAGTCAGGGTTTCGACTGGGCCGTGGGCGCAGGTATTTGGCTTGAAGAAAATCTCTGGGTGTTTCGGGATGGAGAGTTTCATCTCTGCCTGAAGGGTTTAATCATTCGGTCGGGGTGAGGCATGCGGGACGATGACTTACAGCGTGGTCCGTATAATTCAATCCAACACAGCGTATTGTGCCGACCTCTGACAGCGTGAGAGGAGAGAGTATCTGTGGTATTGGTCAGGTTACGTATAGGGCAGGTGTTTGGGTTCTTACTAGTATCGCTGTCTTCACTTCACCAGTGAAAACTGCGTCAAGATCCAGTGCAGACTTGGCATCGAGAACCTTCACCAGCACTGGTTCTCTGTCTGCCATGGCGAGACCAACTAGGATGAGTCAGAATCACCACCATATACAAGATGCAAGGAGAAGAGTTTTCTACCGTCCAGCTCTGCGTCAACTGGCTCTCCGCAGTATTCTTGCCCATCTTCGGCCAAGAAGCGTACAACACGCTTCCAGACCTAACAACCCTGTTAGTCCCATATTCGATCAAACCTCGAGAACATGCACTTACGGGGTGAATTCTAACAGCTGATGGCATCTTGGAATCTATTTGGATAGAAAATGTATGAGATGATTTTTCTTCAACAAATTCGTTCTTAAAAGGTCATTCAAGAAACCCATTTTCGGAACAGCAACTACGGCCTTTGAAAATGACCCATCTATGCATGGAGATCCACATTGCCCCTTCCCTACTCTGGCGGGTTTGCAACTCTGAGGGAAGGCACTATCCAAAGGTGGGGGTTGCCCGGCCTTTCGCTTAACCAGTCACCCCTTATTCGGACCTTCATCTTATCAATACTAGGCCGATCACTCACGCTACGGACTTTTGTCTTGGCAAACATGCGCTTCGCCCACTGTGCTGACGAACCTCACGCTTATCAGTGAACCAGTTCGAGAAAACGTTCGATAAACAAATTGCTTGTCGATTTTGTTTTAATATGGAGAGCCTAGAGGCACGACTCGCGAGGGTGATATAAAGCAAGTGTTAGGTACGGCGATCGTGGTGAACTTCATTCACACTGCTTCTTTTGATATTATTTGAAAAGACTATAGCTTCGCTTTCCTCCACAATGGACGACAACGAAAAGGGACTCCCGGTTGAACCAAAAACTGATGAACAAGTGGCTTCTGGCTCCGATGAGTTTTCGTCTGATGGAGCAGTCGACCATTATATCGATCCTGCTGCTGAGAAGAGGCTTATTGTGAAACTCGATCTTTACTTGGCACCGGTCATGACTTTAATCTTCCTGGCTGCGTATCTGGATCGAGCGAATATTGGGAATGCCGCGTCCGCTGGCATGACTGCTGATTTGCATATGACAAGCGGTCAACTTGGCAGTGAGTGCTTTATACTGCGAGCCAAATAATTCAATCTACTGATCAAACCTGTTTTTAGATGCAGTGACTCTCTTCTACGTCCTCTATGTTGCATTCGAACTTCCTTGCACAATTGTAGTGAAGAAGTTTCATCCTGGTAAGCCATCCCAACACTTCTCCGTAAAATCTCCAGGTGTTAATTATCTCCAGGGCGAATGATCCCAGCCCTAATGTTCTGCTGGTCCATCGTCATAATAGGAACAGGTTTCATGCACACCGCCAACCAACTCTACGCCTCCCGCCTGCTCCTCGGCCTCTTCGAATCCGGCATGTTCCCCTGTCTCGCCGTCTACCTCAGCACCTTCTACAAGCGCGAAGAACAAGGCCTCCACATCGCCTATCTCCTTGTCTCAGCGGCTCTCTCCGGTGCATTCGGTGGTCTCTTCGCCTTTGCGCTACTGAAAATGGATGGTGTAGGTGGACTCGCGGGCTGGAGATGGCTCTTCATCGTCGAAGGGCTCGCTACTGTCGTCATCTCGATCGCGATTTTCTTCCTGCTTCCAGATAACTTCGAGACAGCACGGTTCTTGAACGAAGAAGATAGGAAGATCATGCGTATCAGAGCCGAAATTGCTGCTAGGTATAACGGTAAGGAGGAGTTCGAGTGGAAGGAAATCCGCAAAGCGTTCCAGGACCCGAAGACGTGGATTAGTTGCTGGTCTCAATTCATGGGCGATATCTGCTCGTTTGGCCTCTCGACCTTCTTGCCGTTGATTATCAAGGGCTTTGGATATACCACTGTCCGGACGCAACTCCTCACTATCCCGGTCTTCCTTGTTGCGGCGTTCTTCTTCATCATCGTGTCGTGGTGCTCGGATCACTTTGGCAAACGAGTGTTCTTTATGTTGCCTGCTGTTCTGGTGACGATGATCGGTTATGCGCTGCAACTTGGAATCCCGATCTCGAATAAGGCGGTGCTGTATTTCAGCACGTTCTTGATTGCACCGGGGATTTATATCATCTTAGGGTTGAACTGTACTTGGTTGTTGAACGGCCATGCCGGGTATTACAAGCGTGCTACGGCTGTGGGCATGAATCAGACGATTGGGAATGCTGTTGGTGTTGTGGTGAGTCTCACTCCCCTTCTTTATCCTTAAAACCCAAAACTGATGAAATGGGCAGGTCGGTCAAATCTTCAAGAAAACAGTAAACGGGAAATACCTCACGGGCTTGCGGATCTCGCTGGGTGCCGTGCTCCTTGCTGGGTGTGGACATATTGTGCTATATAGTCTGAGATATCAGAATATGAAGAGGGAGAGGATGAGCCTCGAGGAGAGGGAAGAGGAGATTAAAAATGGGTGGGGTGGGGACTTTCATCCGGATTTTAGATATGCACTTTGAGAGGAGTCGGAATCTCGAAATATAGTGCAAGAGGTCAGACTTCGTTCTCACGAGCCTGATTTAGTGTCATACGAAAAGAACACACATTGAAAACCTATCTTGACAAGTACAACGCTTTCGGATTTTGAGTTCCGCTAATCCGTGATTTGTGAGTTTTGCAAAACATCACCTCGATTTGTCTTTCGGACCCACATTAACACAAACACCATCATCCAGAATCCAGCTCTCAACAGATAGAGATTCACTCAAACACCAGCCTGCTCCTCCCCAACCCACTCCAAAACCCTCCTCCAAACCGCCACCCCATCATGCACACCCTCCGCCCCATCAACCAACTTTCTCTTCTCCATCTCACTCAATCCCCTCGTATACAAACTCTCACTTTCCATCAGCGCTCTCGCCAACTCAACGCTCATCTCCGGATGTCCCTGGAACGTCAAAATCCTCCCGTTCTCACTCAAACAGATCTGATTGTTCTCCGCCAGCTCGATAAAACCAGGTGCTGGGATGGCGATCTCTTTTCTGTGAAGTTCGTGGAGCTTGATGGAAGGAGAGGAGGAGGAGGAGGAGGAGGCGAAGAACTTGTGCCCGAAGGGCGTCAGAGGGAGGGTGGTGATGCCGAGCTTTAGGGCGTGTTAGTTCTGTCGAGAGAGATTTGGAAGTGGAAATGGAGGAATAGAAGCGAAAGAGAGGAGGGGAAGGGGAAATGAACCTCGGTTTTTCCAGCTTTATTCCACCCCAATTCTCCTCCAAAGGCCTGACAATACTTCTGATGCCCGAAACAAATTGCCACTATCTTCAATTTTGGGAAATCTCTGACAGTAGTCTTGAGGAACTCTAGTTCCTTAACAACCCAAGGGGCAGACTCATCGACAACGTAGGTTCCGCCGCCGATGATGAGGAGGTCATGGTTTGAGAGTTCTGTTGGGGAAGGAAGGGAGAGTGAGGGAGGCGAGTAGAAGGTTAGTTTTGAGGTTGGAGAGAGTGTGTTGAAGATGGACATGTAGGCGGAGGTGAAGAGGGGGATGTAGGGGGGTTCGTCGGTGTTGATTAGGATTGCTATTTTGAGAGGCCTGGAGGGAGCGAGGGAGCCCATTTTCGGTACTCAGTGAGGTTGAGTGAAGTTAGAAAGGAAGTCTTGAGATTTGAAATCTGAGTATGTGAAGAAAAGGAAAGAAGTCGTCAGCGGATGGGCTTCAAGTGACGTGACTGTTTGACGAGGGATAATTTTGAGAGTAACAGGGATGGCTTCACTCTTAAGTAACCCCCATTCTTGATCTACTTTTCGGCTTTCAGTGGTGATTGTAATAAAGATACGCTTCGGACACTAACGATCGAAAGTCCGATGTGACAAGAGTGGGGGGCGAGGCCTTCGCCATTTTGAGGGCTTGGAGGGAAAGAAACGGATCGAGAAGTGCAGCAGCGCTCATTGATAGGATAGGCTAATGTCTTCCAACTGTCCCAGAAAGACACCAGTCTTCCTCCCGTTGGCCGATTTCTTGACTCGGCTGTTTGATGCCTCTCATCGCATCTCGAACACATCCCCACCACTGTTCAAATAGCTCAGTATTGATTCCCCTTCCGACTGCCTCCAAAGCAAACGCCACTCCTTTCAAGTCTCCAAAATGTTTGAATAGTAAGAATATCCAGTCTGTATGGTGACACCGCGAAAGTTTGCCGTACTCAGCCCTTACTTTCACAATTCTGTCCATTTTATCTGCTCCTGCAAACTGCCCGAGGGCCTTCGGGCTCTTGAATGAGAATATACAATTTGGGTAGAAGGTAAAAGGTAAGATATCGTATTTTACATAAGGCGAGGAGAGCGATAATGGTGTTTGCTGGTGAAGAGGGGTGGGGCCGTTCCAGAGGTAACGAGAGGCGGGAGAGAAGCGAAGTAGTGTGCATAGATGTCCGTCCGCAGTTCTGTGGGTAGACGCGAGATAGAGAAACAGGATGGGATGGTAGAGTTGTCTCTGTCGTGAAATTTGAGGAAAGGGTGAAGTGATGCCCGCCCGTTTTGGGAAGAGATGGATGAGAGCCTCGAAGGACTTCTTTCTGCAACAGGCATATGACGATGAGTCTATGTTGAAACAATGACGCAAATAGAGAATTTCGAGGAAAGTTGTTGATTCTTTGGGAAGCAATCAGAAATACATATCGACAAAAAGGTGTGGAATAACGGCGTTGCGCAAGCTTGAGAGGGATTTAAAGAGTGGATGATGAGTATGAATGAGCACTTTGAGCAACTAAGACTTGTAATCTTCTCAAGTGGTCTACTCTGTGCATGTAATCTGAAGTTTGACGAAATCATGAACCGCTTGGTCAAGGGGAATGGGGAGAACGAGGGCTTGGGGGTTGAGGACGTTGTGTCACGTGAAATTAATCTCTTCCCTCGCCGCCCCTTCTCTTCCATCCCCTGACATCACCACCTCGCCATCTTCTCATCAACCAACACCATTCACGACAACAGCTTTCAATCGCTCAAATATGGGCGAAAGTGATCCTGGTCCATTGAGGCCGTAATCTCTGAGTCGCCTCTCGCGTTATCGAAAAGTTCGTCCGATCGTGAGCTCCCGGTGAATCGTCGACGCGTCAACAGCCATCCGCTGTAGCTCCACACTCTTAGAGCCAAAGAACGAGAACACTACCCAGAGTTGCAATGCCAGCTTCATCCTCATCATCGAAATCGTTTTTGTGTTCGAGTGCACGTCTTCTGTAGGGTGAAACGGCACAAAGCCCGCCGCCCCATACAAACGAACTGTTCCTAGACTCCTGAAAAGGTTCATGTTATTGAAAGATCTGCTGATTTGAGGGATTTGGGGATATTACTCGAATATCAAGTCTACCTCCTACCTTTTACACTTTACCGCTTGCCCCAAGTCCCAAATGGGAGGCTCAGAGGGTTCAGGGGACAAGGAAGGTCAGTCGAAAATTATTTGAAATTCCCTTTCTTCTTAAGCACCGACGAGAGAGATCGCACTCATTGATACCATCGTGGTATTACGCAAGCCTTCAGATTTGTGACGAGTGTCGTCAAGTTCGATTTACACGAATACGATGTCGAATTTTTCCTGGCCTTCAAAATTTCCTGATAAAGTAAATAGTTCGCACTTGGCAAGGCACCCTTACACATAGCGGCCGTTAGTGGCCGTCTTGTCTTTCGAGCAGATCGCTTGCAAGCCCCCGAATGGATCGCCAAAACGGAGTCGGAGGGTCTTTGTTTGGGAGTCTGTGAGGCTGTGAGGCTGTGAGGCTGTGACGGCTTCGCTTGCAGTTTCAGGGCGGGTTGGTAGGCCTAACTTTCCTCCGGTCGCAGGTGGGACACGGATTTGGCATCAAAAAGCGGGCCTCAGATCACAAATCCCGCACGATGATACGTAGTGTCGAAAGCGTATAGAGAATGCCATCTTATTCGCTAGAACATGACAGTCGTCGGCTTTCAAAACCGTCCATGAAAGGCCGAGTGTCGTTGCTGTGTCTCGACAGGCTAGCTTTTGATATTTTATCATCCACCATAGTCTGTAAGTATTTACCAGGCCATCCCACCTTTATCTTTTAGTTGCGGTTATCTCAAATTCTCCACTGCCGCTTCACTTCGTGTTGTCTTTTATCTCTATTCAGTCACCTCGCTCCTTGAACTTCCATCAAAACCTCCTGTGTAGCTTCCAGTCATGGCGATCATCATTAACCGAAACATCTGCGTTGCTCCAATTCCTGGTCGTACCAGTACATACGGCTATGTTCCGTCTCTCGCAGCTGGTATCGTATTCTGCGTCCTTTTTGGCCTGAGCATGCTCCTGCACACCTTCACATCTATTCGATATCGCACTTGGTGGCAGCTTGTTTTCACGGTTGGAGCGCTTTGCGAGGTTCTTGGATGGGCTGGCCGTGCTTGGTCTCACTCCTGTCCCTATCAAACGACTCCCTACCTGCTCCAAATATGCACACTCATCATTGGCAAGTATGATTGTCTAAACACCATGCCCATTGTCTAACTTCAACAGCACCAACATTCTTCACTGCTGGAATCTATGTCATTCTCGGTCGACTCATTCGATCGTTCGGAAGAGGCGTCTCCCCTATCTCTGCAGCTGCCTACCTTTACATCTTCTGTACCGCCGCTGTGGTGTCGTTAGTAGTCCAGGCTGTGGGCGGGGGAATGGCCGCAATTGCGTTCGAACAGAATCCACCCAAGAACACCGACAACGGAACGCATATCATGGTGGCCGGGATCTTGTTCCAACTCGCCTCGATAATAATCTTCGTCAGCCTCTTCATCGTCGTTATCTTCCGAGCGCTGAAGAGCAAAGGCGAAGTCTTGACGCAAAGAAGAATTCAATGGATCATTGCTGCCATGGTTCTCTCGGTCGTGCTCATTGTCATAAGAAGCATATATCGAACGATTGAACTTCTGCAAGGATGGTCGGGATATCTGATCACGACGGAGAGATATTTCATTGCGTTGGATGGTGCGATGATGGTTGGAGCTGTCGGTGTTTTCAATATTGCCAGGCCTGGGTGGGCGAACACAACAAACAAAGACTCGGACTTCGAAGGGGAGAGCCAGGTAGAGATGACTGATAGATCACGAAGTAAGGATTAGAGGTTTGCTTGTGGCGTTCGGATATACTACAAGGATTTCGGGGATTTATAGACAGCATAGACCAGACATGTGTTCTAGATGGAAAATAGAACGCATATTTGCCAGCCTTCTTTGACAGCTTTGATTGGGGGCAGTCAGACTTCCAGGGGTATGGATCCAACGAGGGGTTGCAGTGCGGGGCAAGACCTTGAGGCTGATTGTAACTCCCCGCTGTTTGCTGATGTCAGACTTCCCGCCACAATGTACCTGCGCTGATGTCCACTCATTAAATCCGTCGAGCTCCTCAGCTCTATAAGTATAGACAATTCGTTCCCTCAAACAAGTTTCACATTCAAAAATCTTCTCATATCCCTCCGCCAAGATGTACACTCAAGCAGAACCGAAGCCCGGCTCAAAAACGTATTTCTCCAAGCCCATTCACAAGTGATTGTCATAGCTAACAAAGACAATTCTTCACTGCCTTCGCTGCCTTCGATCCCTCACGAATGTCAACACTCTTTAGCAAAGTTACATTCGGAAAAATTACCAACGAGCCCGAACTACTCGGTCTTGAAGCAATTGAGAAGGTAAATACACATCATCTTTATCTGAAAAAGATTTCCCTGAACTTCTCAGTAGCATGAGACAGGAATATTCTCCCTCCATTTAAGTCAAAGCCATAAAATTATTCGAGTTAGTAAGCAGTAGGGCTCTTCTCCGCCCCCGAAAACCTAAAAGAAATAATGAGTACTTTACTGGATTCTGAACATAGAAACAAATACCGTGAGGAACGGAACTGGTATCTACTCAGCTCTCGAGATCACATTTACTTTCAAGAGCCACCCTGACGAACCAGTTGCCATTCCTTCGCTGTCTTGTTTCGAGCGTGTTCCGACTGGGGAGGAGGGAGCCGGGAAAGTGAAGAGCTCCATGACTTATGAGGACCTAGGGCCGGTGAAGGAGAATATTGTGGGGCATTGGTTAACCTCTTTACCCTTGTTGATAGATGAGAATAATCGCTTTTGAAGTGGAGTAATTACATGACAAAGCAACTACGGTGAAACCTCGCTAGCTTCAGAGATCAGATCGGCCCCTTGAGCCAATAGAAAGTCCAGCAAATCCAAGAAAAAACTCAATAATCCGAAACAACAAACCAAACGTCGAGGATTTGCACATTGCATCGCTACACAACGTGCTAATATCAGCCTTCACAGAACCAAGAAACGGGATTCTCATATACATCAACCCCCCATCTCATTATCTCTCTGAAGGACACCTGCCCTTCTCAAAACTTATCATATGAAAACACTCCTCCCACAACTCAACAAAAATACATCGTACACAATCGGAAACCAAACCCTGGCTCGAGAAGGCTGCTTGCCCCCTTCCTTTGAAAGCTTGAATATCCATGGCTGGTAATAGCACCGACAACTCACCCACCCAACCAAGCTGTAATCTGATTCTGATTTCATACATACCAATTACGAAACTAGATATCGGTTGCGAGGGAGCAGCAATCTGCGGCACACTAGAAGTAATGTACGTCTTCAAAAGCTACCCCAGAGACCCGGTGGGGTCACCAGCAATGGATACACGATTCGTGTGCCACCCGGTGAGGAGGTTGCAGAGAAGTGCAAGGCTTTGATGATTTATGAGAATTTGGGGTGACCAAAGATAAGACGGGGGTTTGAGTGTGGTGTGAAGCATGGGAGAACAGGATTTGATCTTGCTAGACCTTTGAACAAAATTGAAGGACTTCTCTGAGCTAACATGTCGAGGTAATTCTGCTGGAGAAGAGAAGTCGGACCTGAGCTTTCCTGAACGCAACTTTCTCTCCTCCTCTCCCGGACATGTTGATCAAAACATCACAGCCAATTGAATGATTCCTTCAAGGTGTTCCATATCGGAAAGACACCTAAATTGTAAGCCAGAGCGAACGGTGAGAGTTGTGTTCATTGGTCCTGATGCAAACCTTCCCCAACCCAGAACCAAAATACCGAACGAAGACCTGCTATTTTTTCCTGGACCCTCGGTTCCTAAAACCCCAAACGCCATGCTATCCATACCCCCAATCATATCAATAAATAACTTCAAGAAGCATATCATGGGTATCATCATCCATCGTCCATTACCAAGCTCCCCAACTCTCCGCCCTGCCTGGTGTGCCATCAGCGAAAGCTATCTGTGAAAAGAATCTCCGCGGAAAGCCAGCTCTCACGACCTCCCTCCAAAAGGGCCCCCCTGATGATACGGCCCATAATTCACCGCGCCAAACGCCTCACGTCCAGACGTCTTGACCTCCTTCTTCTTAGCCTGTTCCCTCTCAAATGCAGCTGTAGGCGGCTCTCCAAGCGAATTAAAGAACTCCTTCGTCTTCCTCCAAACTTTCGAGGATTTTGATGTCACGGAGGAAGTAGGTTCTGTCGACGACCTCGTTGGCTTTTCGGAACTTGTGTTTGTCTTTGTGTTTGATTTTGGCTTCGATTTGATGTTGAAGGATGGTTTGGATGGTAGCTGCCATTTCTTGGACGAGGAAGACATGTTGATTTCCGAATAGTGCGGGGTAATGAGCTGTGACTTCACAGTATCGCGGTGTCGAAATTAAATGATGGATCTGAATTGATCTACCCAATCGTGAATAGAGGTGGGCGTCCAAACCTCAATATATGTAGTGCTCCCTTCAGCGAGAGCCTTTCTGCTTTGCACCGAGGACGACAGGACGCAAAACAGCAGAGCTCCAGGTAGCAATATATCCAAACTTTTTATGTCCCAAATAGCCTCCCACCCCAGTGCAGCAGGCGCCGGGCAGCGGATGGGGCGTTAGTTTGGGCGGCCAACCGCAACGAGCTCACCGGCCCCCACCCCAGCTCCATCAAATCAGCCACCAGAAAATTCCAACATTCGCACTGCAGACGGGTGGCTGCCTTCCATCAGATCAATCAGCCGGGGAGTCTGTGCCACAGCCTTGCTTCGCCTCCTACGTGAGTCAATGTTACAGGGCGCTCAGATGCGCCTCCGTGTTTTACTTGAGTTCCCGCTTAATTGCAACGCCCGGTCACGCAACGTGTCACGGCCTGGACAAGCTGTGGAAGTGGAATGTGGTGTGTTTTGGTGTAAATATGTAAGAATGATGGTGCCCTAAGGGCGGTGAAGAAGCTATATGTACGCCTGTGCGCAGCACGTGACACAACGCCAACACGCATACAAAATCGCGAAAACTCACAACTTTTAAATTTTAATAAGTTTTTAAGTAACTAATTTATAAATTTAATATTTTAACTATATTATAGGAAAATAGCTATATTTATAAGTTATAAGTTAAATACTAAGCGTTTTTAATATATAAGATTTTAAAGAAACTATAAAATATAAAATATAAAAATAAGTTATTATATATATTTATTAAAGTATTTAATTTATATTTATATAATAGAGTTAGGAAATTAGATTTAATTAATACTTGTTATTTTAACTTTTTAAAAATTATTTTAATTGATTAAAGTTAACAACCAGACGGCAAGCCTATATCAGGAAACCGCGACCTGCTGTATCAGGCAAGGCGCACGCACGGACCAGCCGCCGCTTTCGCGGGGTATAAAAATCTCGCGACTCCATTGCTCGCTCCTTTCCCTTCTTCCTTCCTTTCAATAGCCCAACAACCTCCGCCTTGCGCCGCTCGGTGCTCGCTCTTCATGCGTATTCGGCCCTTCTGCCTAGAATCCTACCCCTTCCCGCCAGGCTCCCCTGATGGCCACGCCGCAGCTGAGAAGACCGCGCCAGCGAGGTACGGGGCAGCTTCAACTAGATTCCACGATCGCCCCCTCTAGCCTCGATGCTACTGAGTAGCTGTGATGCGAATCCCCTCACATGTCCGCCTCGCATTGGCCGAGTTACGAGCTCGACAGCGTCTAGACCCTCTCGCAATCTGCCTCGTCGTCGCACTATTACTACCTCTTACTATAGCGTACTCCGGAGACTAAGACGCCGTGGACAAGGCCTCCCCTCGTTGCAGCACAATAGCCAGTTGCAGTGATGTCTCACGACGACGCGGCCTGGCTTCTGCGTAGCTGTGCCCCAGGTGCTGCAGGTGAATGATGCGTTGGGAGCTTCCTGGTGAGTTTCCTCGTTGCCGCAGCATATGTCGTATTCGTCTTGATTACGTGGCCTTGGGGCTGATTCGAAGCGGTAGGATTATCACGAGGGCTCTGCTAGGAGCATTTCCTTGGAGGATCTGCTAAGGATCCGCCAATTGGACCACGCCAGCTACAGGATTAGCAGCTGAGACGCCGGACGACGGGAAGGACTTTGAATGTGCTAGTCTACTAGTCTGCTTGAAGCCTTCAGACGGGTAGAGAGGGCAATATCCGAAGTCATGCACCCCCTCCTCTTACGACGATCCTCGCTCCTTCCTGCTCAGCTTTTCACGGCCTCGCCGACGATCGAGAAATGATACTGAGATCGGTCGATCGTGGTATATAGCGAAGTGGGGGTAACGGCTGCGGATGGGCATATTCTGGTATGAGAGCGCAGGATCGACGGTAATAAGGCCTTGCAGCTGCGGCGAATCTCTCTGTGCGAGAGGGGCCGTATTGACGCCGAGGCGGTTTTACGGAGAGGGCGTCAAGAGGTGGAAGAGAATCGCATAGTACGGTATAGTACGGCGGGCCATAAGGCGTATTCCGGTTCTGCGAGGGCAGTGCAAGAAGCCTATATGAACCCATTGATTTCCCGTCTGCTTTTTTTTTTGGCAGTCCAGTTGTACAGCCAGCAGCCAGCGGAGAACTTCTCGAATACTCTTAGTTATTTCCATACGCTCGAGATGTCCACTCTTGCCTTTAAACCTTATACCTACAAGCCAACTGCTCTGCGCTCTAAGAGCAAAGTAACCCACTGCAGACCTGCCCTAGAACAGGTCAGTATCCTCAACAAGCTCCAATATATTACGTCGAGTGGTGCATTACTTAGCACCCTACGGGCAGTAGCTGATAACGGGGGCTACAGGCCCGGAATTCGAGGTATGTAATGGAGATGTATTGGCTTGTAGCGACAGTAACTGACTTGTAGGAATCTGACCAGGCACCGGTACTGTTTTCGGCGGTAGCAAGAGAGTAAATAATAACGAAACCGACGACGACCGAGACCTCCCCACAATCGAGGAATTGCTGTTCACTAATCTACAAGTGCAGGGCTTCACGACCGGGGGTCGAGGCCCAGATAAGACGAGCGGAGTTGAGGAGGTAGCAGCAGATAAGAGGGGTGGCTTTGTTAACTAGAGCAGGTTAGCGCAAGGCGATAACTCAGGCGGGAGTCCAGGTGAGCCTCACCTACTATACCCTTATTGTGGAAATGGACAGCCAATTTTTCTGACACAGTATAGATAATCCAGTTGTCCTAGGCGACAGCAACTTGAGTGTCTCCGAAGCCGAAGCCAATGACGGTAGTCTTCGTGCCGAAAGTGTAATAGCACCAGGCACTGGACTTTTCGATAGCCCAGAGACAGCCATCGACTCGCTAACTCCGGCTCCTGCTCGCAGTCCCGATGGATGGCACGATATTGATGACTTCCCCGAGCCTGCTCCGCGCTTGCGGCTTGCGGAACAAAGAGCTTCGCCAGACTCTCTGCCTCATACCCCTTCTTCGCGCCTCTCGAGCGAGCCATTACACGACAACATCAGTACAGATTCCAAGGCCACGAGCCCCTCTTCGAGCCCGCCTCCACGCCATTACTGAGCGTCGCCAGAGACCCAGCTCAGTCAAGAGGGTCGTCTTCATACCGGTCAAGGCGTGGCAGACGAACACGAGCTGGTTAACCATACGCTCGACACTCTCCTCATTGATAACCTCCACCGTATGTCTCACAACTTCATCATCAACCTCCCTCACGATCCTCCTCATTTGCTCTGCCAGCGGTTCACCAAACTCTACCAGATCAGGCACGGTCCACTGATCATACAGTCTCCCATGGGTTCTCGACGGAAAGAAGCCACCGTGTGATAGCAAGAATCTATAGCAAAGATAACAGAGAGATTTCGATATGCCGATAGCTCTTGGCGGTAAGAATACTGCTTTATGGGTGCTCTCTTGGGTGAAGAGGTCTAATGAAGTGCCAACTGGACTTCGGCATGGACATGGAGCGTTCGGGCCCAGGATTCGTAGCCGATGAGAGTTGGGATGCTTTGATATGGTGGTAGGTAGGCCATGCTGAGGCCGTGGGTGAACATTTGAGGATATCGCGTGGCGATACTGACTAAGGATATTGGGATTCGGCGATATGATGCAATCTTCTGGATTTGTCGGAGGGATTTGATGGCTGATGCAACTTGCGGTGTTGGTGTTGATCCAATACTGTCTTCCAAACGTACAAGAAAATCCTGAATTGAAGCGGTCGAGCAAAATTCGAAACTGGCCGCCACGAGGGAGTACAAATCTTCCAGATGATTCCCGGATATGTTTTCAAAAGCTTGGTAGGTAGACACCAGATCTCTCAAGTGCTTCTCCACCTGCAATCTTGACTCGGCCTCCTTTCTGGTGTGTGAAAATTGTGCACGGTGGATAAGATTATCTATATCCTTCAACAAAGGTTTTTTGTGACTCTTGGACAGATACTTCGGTTTCTCCCAATGAGAGGAGCGTAGTCGTGCAAGGAGACGTCGGCGATGCAAGCGAACAATACTGTGATATAGTACTTTCATAGCATTTGAGCCATTCTCCTCCCGATCAGCATCTACCGTTGACAGAATAGATGACCATCCTTCCAATGCAGTCTTAGTCTCGTTGTTCAGCGAGATGTCCAATGCGGCGAATCGCAGTGTGAGACTTGGCGGGCCAAGATGCTGCTCGATACAAACAGCAGCCACGCTTTGTGCACCTTCATCGACAGCTACAAGGGAAGCAAAATCATCGGCAAGACGTTGTTCGACAACGAGTGGTAAGCTGTACTTCGTGTTCGGATCATGTGGAGATGCAGGAAGCCAGTCTGCGGCGCTGAAGTATTGAGGAGCGATAGGGACCGCGTTGGTCGTCTCTTCAAGGTTGACTAAATGTTGTCGGAAGGTATCTTTGGAGAGATCGCGCCAGATTGACTCATCTATAGATCTGGTACGGATATCTTTTCTTTCCATAACAGAGAGGATACGAAGTGGATATAGAATTTGACGAGGCAGATGCTACCGCGTCCGCGGGTATCAATGCGCTAGAGCTAAGCCTAACGGAATTCCCATCCGATCCCCGGGCACTGGCTTCCGTGGACCGCGCCTAAGAGCCGCACGGAAACAACTAAACAGCGCACAATCGAGCGCAACCACGAGTTCCACCACCTTTCCCCCTTCATTGCCTTCGACGAGGCTTGTCGTCTCTCTCATTGCGGTTCCAGCCGTATTCACACCATCGATGACTGGTAGGTTCTTCCCTTTCATTACAGCACCTATAATACTACGAGCTCGACGTCCGGCCTCAGCTCACGCTATCGCAGCACTGTTGGATCGGATGCACCATGCTATATATAGAGCGGACCTCATAGCAGTTCATATAGTGATGCGTTCAATAACATGCTTCATGATAATCTGATGCTACGTCCATATGTTCTATCGCAAGATTGAACTCATCGTACTGTGTTTAATAGAACCACAATCCACTGTAGTCCCCCGTAACGACTTTCTTCGAGAAATCGCTAGTCTTTCCCATATCTCCTATCATCGAGCCGTTATCCAGGTCCATCGCCCATACAAGTGTTCTAAACCAACATTAGTTGCATGATGTGATTTGAGAATAATCAGGACTTACCCTCCCAAGCACTTCGAATTTGCGTATTGAAGCTTAGTTTTCATCGTCTCACCATCATCGTACGACACCTAGGGAAGGTCAATTCGGTCACTTGAGCCATGCTCTCTTTGCTAGATAAGTGTACGTACCCACTGGTTCCCTCCCCACGTCACAATCTTGACTGCTGCATCCTTGTCCAAGGTCACAGTGGCTCCAGCACTGATGACGTCCCCAATCTCGACAGATGATAGAATCCCGGCAGTGGCTGTACAAGGCCCTGCGTTACCGCCGGCACTGAATGGGCACCCCGTTGCCGAACATGACGGATCGGTGAGCGTGAAGCCTGCACAAAATCGAATTAGTATACCGCTTGCAAGCAGATGAGGTACATACTTCGACCATAGAAGCCCAGACCCATGTTCACCTTGGCGGGGTCGATATTATTCCGCCACAGCAGTTGAAGTGCTAGGTTAATTTCCGTGAGATTTGTATGTGCTTGAACGATGTTTCCAATGCTCTTGACGCCAGCGTCCCAAGTACCGTGCAAATCGTAGGTCATAACGTTGAACCAGTCAAGAATAGGCTCCATGCCGGCGATGTCGAAACCTTGGAGGTACCAATATGAAGATGGCTATTGTACAATTTAGCAAGAAACGCTGAGCAGAGAGCTTGGTGTGCGTACCAGCGTGAGGGAGATTCCAAACCTGTGCGACAACCCCGCATTGTCAAAAGCCGCACGGAGGTTCTTCAAAAACGAGACAAAATTAACAAAATCATCTGGAGATCCGAATCGATCCGGTGCTACTGGATACTCCCTGCCCTTACGTTAGTCAACGATGGCGAATCAGAGCCAAGCACATACCAATCGAGGTCGACGCCATCGAAATTGTTGTTCACCAAGAAAGAAATCAGAGACTTGAAGAAAGCACTCTGCGCGGATGTTGAACGCGCAAGGTTTGAAAAAGTGGTAGCTGTTGCGCCTGGATCGTTGAATGACCAGCCACCCACACTGATCCAGACCTCTAAGCCGTTCTGTTTCTGTTTAAGGGCTGAGACACGTTGATATAACGCCGCGACCTGAAAAAATGTGAGCTCAGAAGACATTGAATCTTGATGGAAAAGCATACGTCATTCGACATCGGTGCTATCTCAAAAGTACCCGGGTCGATATACGCAAAGGCGAAATTGATGTGCGTCCAGTAGCCAAGTGTTACGTCTTCTGGTGCCATTGCTTGAATAGTTGTCAGCACGTTGTTATCTCCATGACGGATGCCTCCTTACTATTGCAAGATCTCTCCAAGTTCCAGCCTTCATAATATCCGATGACACGACCGTTCGTTGCAGAATTGCCGCTACACGATGGTTCGGGAACCTTTGTGTCGCCACAAAAGTCGGCAGTGCTTCCACAAAATCCTGTTTCCATTAGCCTTCCACCTACCACGATTCCTCGCAGCTGCTCTTAACTCACCAAAAGCACTGCAGCAGACATTCAACGGACACGTTGAGGCGTTACTCCATTGTATACCCCATCCAGGATCACATTCGCTCTTGTAGCCACAGCTGGAAGTGCAATTTTCTGCCGCGCAAAAGACAGGTCCCAGTCCACAAACACCTCTGGAAAATATCAGTCGGTCTGGCGTCAAACGTTTCCACTGTGCTTCGCTCTTACCCATTTGAACAGCATCCTATCGCGCATGGCTTGGTGGGGCTGCAGGTATAATCTTGGGCAAGAACGGAAAATAAAAGAAGGCCAAAGGTGGCAAGCCAGGCTGCCACTGTTCGAGTTGAAGTCATGTTAGGTCGATTCGACAGTACGGAATGAGTACAGCAACTTTCTGTTTCTTTGTTCTACATGTGTGAAGATTCGGAGGTATCTGTCATAATCCGAATCGTTGACCTTTTCATCGCAGCTACCGCGAATACTTTACTCCCACACGGAGCGTGCGGGGGCAGAAGTTGCATTTCCCTATGGAGCGAAACTGTATCTAGTAAATTTCACAGTCATCTCCGAGTACTGAGGGGCCCATTAGACTGGCTGATGATACACAGTCAGATTCTGTCAAATGAGGCAGTCCTCTGCCGGCGATCGGATCCTACAAGGCCGGACAGAATGCAGGCAACGGAGATGAGCAACTGTAAGGCTACCTGAGGTGCCGATCACTACCCTAGAGATTTATGTTCTCTCTTTACTGGCATTTAGGGATGGCACTTTACATTACAGCGGGAATCAGATGTGTAATTTACGTAATTACAGGCCCTAAGCACTTTACACGTTACATTACAGTCATGTGACGCACTAGCCTAATACGGAACGCACTAACCTAATTTAGAAGCGGGATACCTCGGTAGCAAGTTTGAATCTTCGTAGCCGAGAAACTCTCCACTATTAAAAAACTGACTACCAAGAATTAATCGCCATTCAACAAGCTAATATGCTATTTAATAATTCGTAAAGTGCTCGAGAGAAAGTAGAGATTCATAGAGCCTTCGTCAAAATTTTTAGTATACGAAGACGGGTCGATATTTAAAGCTATAGTATTCCAGAGGTTTCTGGCATAATTCAGGGCACACTTCAGAGGAGATCTAGGGGGGATATTAGCGATTTTCAGGGCCTTTAGGACCTCCCTAATCAGTATTATGACCTGGAGTTTCAGGCCTTTGGGGACTACTATTGGGACCACGTGCCTTAAATTATACCTTCTTTATGCATGAATTATACTTAAAGTTATGCTATATTACACGAGCTTCAGAGCCTTTCGTAACGTAAAGTCGAAGAGCGTTACGTAAAGTACGTAAAGTGTAAAGTTTACCATCCCTACTGGCATTGCTCTGGATAGTTGATAAGATCGCAAACAGCATCTTGGGTAAATAACAATGCTGGGAAGAAGTGGGGGTCAGAATCAGAAGGGTTGTAATATTATACCCTTCCCTTGTATCTCAAATCCTTGCAAGCGGTTAGCGTTGGCAAATATCAGATGACATTTGCCACGATGCGAAGAGATGCAAGGTACACAGAAACTAATCTCGGGATTACCTCCAAAACTTTACTTTAACATCCTTGTATGTTCGATCATGGCTCGTGCTTACCCGAGCAGGTCTCTGAAATTCGCATGTCAGCAAAACTGGGGGGCACGAGTAAGTCAATTTTACCTCGTCATGTCTGGCTAGCACGAGATCGATCGCACCTCGTTATGTCTGGCGTTCGATCTGGAGAGAGAATTTCCCAAGGCGCGCTAAGCATTTTCAGTCCTGCGAGAAGTGAAGCATAGTTATATCCGAAGTTCGAAAATCAGATTCCACTGAGCCCAGGTCTCTGTCTTTCTCGACACATTGAAACAAATTTGCGATGCATCTTCTACTGGTAATCCTGACTCTGCTCGGAGCATGCGAAGCTCTCGTACCCCGTTCAATTGTACACAAACACGATCGGAGGGCAACAACAACAACTTCTGCACCTGCGGTGTATCAGACAGGAATTCCTTGTAACTGCAACAACTACTACGTAGTTTCGACCGGTGACTCTTGCGATGCTATTGTCACAGCATATAAGAATGCATTCACTCTTGCACAATTGTAAGTCTCCGTTCTGCTGTTCTGCTTGAATGCTAACATTGTAGCTATGCATGGAACCCAGCAGTCGGAAGTACTTGTCTAAATCTTTGGCTTGGCTATAGTGTGTGTGTCGGTGTCGACGCCACAGTGACAAAATGCACCACAACTTCGGCAGCACCAACTATTACGACTACGAGCAAGCCGATATCTACAACCTCTCCAACGACAACCACTACTCTCCAGCCTTACTCATACATCTCATCGACAGTAATCAACGCTCAGCCAACTGTCACAGAGCTGCAGCCTTTTGGAGTGCCGAGTCCCGTCCAGGCAGGAATTTACAGTGGCTGCGAAACATACTATCAAGCTGTGGCTGTATGTCTATCCCGAAGCCATTACAGCAAATTTATGACTGACAGCCAAAGGGTGACAATTGTACCTCGATCACAGACTACTTTTTCGGCTTCAATGAAGCCCAGTTCATCTCCTGGAATCCAGCTGTATTCTACGACTGCTCAAATCTTGTAATCGGCAACTACTACTGTGTTCAAGCTCAAGCATACCGACCTAGCCCAGCAGTTTTTTCTGGTCCTGGTCTCCCATCACCGCTCCCCAATTGCACCGTTTCCGACTGTACAGCTTGGTACAGAGCGACGGAAACCGACAATTGCACCAGTGTTCCCCAGACATTTGGCAACTTCTCACTCGTCGAATTCACCCAGTGGAACAGCATAAACCCGACCAATTGCACAGGCTTCGACACCGGCTACTTCTACTGCATAAATTGGCCTTGGTCTTCCAGCACGAATTTCAACAGCAGTAGTTTCAACGACACTGATTACAGCACATGGCGATTTCCTATCAACAGCTGCTACAACTCCACGGTCAATGTAACAACCACTGTACCAAGCACAACTACGAGCACAACCACGACAGCTGGTCCAACTTCCACTTGTGTTAAATCGTACACAGTAGTGGCTGGCGACTCATGCGCTGCTATTCAGGCCGCTTACAGCATTACTTTCGCACAGCTCTTGGCGTGGAATCCCAGCATCGGTTCAAATTGCGAGTATCTTGTCATTGGGAACACGTATTGTGTTTCTCAGTCCGCGGGAACGACTACCACGACATCTAGTCAGCCTACACAGACATCTTCATGCACAAAAAGCTATACCGTTGTCGCCGGTGATTCGTGTGCTGCCATCGAGGCCAGTTATAGCATCACTTTCGCACAGCTCCTGGCATGGAATCCTAGCATTGGTTCGAACTGCGAGTATCTAGCCATCGGAAACACTTACTGTGTTGCTCAGTCTGCAGGAACGACTATCACGACATCTAGTTAGCCTACACAGACATCTTCATGTACAAAAAGCTATACCGTTGTCGCCGGTGATTTATGTGCTGCTATCGATGCCACTTACAGCATTACTTTCGCATAGCTTTTGGCGTGGAATCCTAGCATTGGCTCAAACTGCGAATATCTGGCCATTGGAAACACCTACTGTGTGGCTCAGTCTTCTTGAACAACTACAACTATCATACAGATGCCTTGGAGGATACTTGTGCAGTTGTAGAGGCGAAGTTTGTTATGAGCGATGTGGACTTCAAGAGCTGGGATACTGTGTTGGATGCCGGGTGCACGAATTTATGGCTTGGAAGTGATTACTGTGTTGGTATATAAAATAACGTACTATAATTGTTATGAGGTTTAGAAGGCGCCTTGGTCACCGTACCAACGTTCTGAAAGAGACAAGCACATTCTCTTCCCAGAAACTGCTCAAAAATTTCAAATATGATTCTGCATAGGACGAAATCGTGAAATTCTAAGGTGGTGTAAGGAGCCGCCAGTCTGTCGTGTCTACAGGTCCATGTTTCCCTCATGTGTGCCATCCTGACAGCTGCATTTTTTGGAATGAGTCGTAATTCCGACCTGCTACCTACTCCTCCACCACCATCCTCCCGCGGCCTTCATTTCGCAAAGGCTGGTATTGTTATTGACAATCTTCTGTCTCACCGGGTATATTTTGAACCCTACTCCTGCATGTTTATCAGGGCTTGTGACCATTCTCTTAGGTTCAGGAAATGCGGTAAGACGTGACAGGGGTATCAACCTTGCCCATCATCCCCTTTACAGTAGGGTGCCATAAGTATTCGCACAGGGTCAGTGCTCATCAGCCAATCACTTCTCTTAGAAGTCTCAGTGTGAATTGTAGTTGGTTGAATACAGTGGGTCCGCACGGGCCATGTGCGAATACTTATGGCACCCTACTGTACTATGCCTAGTGCCCCTACGCGCACAGAAACACAGACGATCTTCTCCGATTCGCGCCATGTGTTGCGACGGAGATATACTCGGTACACTTGCAGGATTCGGGACTGACAAGTTCCATACGATATAACATTGTGGGGCCGGGAAAGCAAGGTACAAGCATTAGTGTGGCTCATCTCATCTGTAGCCTGTAGGGTAAGCGCTAGATTGTGTAACCGAGCGGCGTGTCCCGTCTGACCCTTGATGACTAGTCAGCATGACTAGCCGACAGTCCCGGACAGATAAAGCCTTACCTCCAAGAAATTACGAGCTCCGCCTCAAGCCATCAAAATGCGTGCTTGACGGACATCGATCATTCAACGCTCTTTCGATATGCGAGCATAGCCACATTGTCCTTGATCACCCGGCATCGCTTTTCTCGTATCTGGTGCCGACCAATTCTCCTACCATGCAACCTCACCCGCTTGCATTCTTGGTCGGGTTCACACCTCAGAGAAAGAAGAAGGGCGAGCCTTCGCCACCCAAGCCCCTCCCACCACGATCTCGTCGTCTGACCGTGGGCGAAATCCCATCTTTGGAGGTGGTGCCGCACCCACCAGAGGATCAAAATGCCTCCTACCTATCACGTCTCGCCAATCGCTTCAACTTCAACTTCACCAAGCCTGAACCCTCCAGCGACCCTCTGCCCCCACCCACAATAGCACATCCCCAGGAAGTGTCCCCGATATTTCTTCTTCCCACCGAGCTACGCCTCCAGATATACACTCTCGTCCTTGGCAATCGCAACATCCACCTCGGTCTCGAGACGGAGGATGATAATCGTCATTCACCATACCTACGGCACTATCACTGCAAATACGGACGGCAAGATCTGTTCATAGATCCATGGCATAATTGTTGGTCCCCCCGAGGCGGCAGACCCAAAGATCCTGTACAGAAGATCCTGAGTCTGCTCTTGACATGCCGACTGGTATATTCTGAGGCAATCGACCTGCTGTATTCGGCAAACACCTTTCAGTTGGAGAACTTGCATCTTGTCAAGCATCTTCATACGCTAGTCCTACCGCAAAGGTTACAAGCCATGCAGCGTCTGGTGCTCATCTTACGTTTCGACAGATTTCCACTCGCACCGAACGAGATGGAAGACAATGAGCTGTCACAAGCGATGGTTTGGAAGACATTGTCGGAACTGAAGGGATTACGGGAAGTACATTTGCATTTACAGGCAGCCGAGACGGATGATCGCATGTGGAGAGACGATGGTAGTTGCAGAGAAGCATTGAGAACTCAGATAAGGCCACTGGTAGAGAGGCTAGATGTTTTTAGGGTATGGTTGCCAGTCATGAAGATCTTGACATGGGAAGGCATGGAAAGAGATTCCTTTGCGGTGTGGCCGTCTCAATAAAGTTGCGAATGACAGCCGATATGAACACACTCGCCCCACGATAGTCTGACAAGAAGTGAACGAGAGATTGTGAACAAACAATGCGCTAAAGGCTAGGAGTACTAGATATGTCATATATAGACACTATCTAGACACGATTCGATACACACTAATGGTCATGGGCCGCTTCTCCGGGCATATTACCCATCAGTGCCTTCACAACCATTCCCTTCTGCTCCTCCGATAAGCTCGTACCTTCAGGAAAGAAAGTTGAGTTGAAGACCGGTCCCCACATCGCCATATCTGCCTCTTTTCCGCCATCGCTGCTTTCTTCGTCAAAAAATGCAGCGAGAGACCCCAACTCCTCCTTCTCCACAGCGGTCAGAGCACGTTTTGCCTTTGAAGAACTCGAAGCTCCTGTGACTTTGCCATTTTCGTCGATAGATCCTCCGGCTCCGATCACACGAACACCTGTTTTGTGTCAATCTTCGTAAGTGGAATTTGAAAAATTATGAACTTACCCGAAGCGAAGAGTCCATAGGAATCAGCGTTGTTCATTGGCTTTCCGTTGTTCGGGCCACCGTTGTCGGGTAAATTCGTTGAGATCTTCCTACAGTTTTTCCATCCTGAATCATTTAGCGGCACTCTATGAAGCTCAGTGAAACTTCTCTGCTCACCATATGCGACGTTACTAAATGCCACTCCTGAGCCAGCGTTGACATCGACCGGGGAGTCAAATGTTTTGCCTCCATGTCTCGTATGAGTGAGCTGACGAGTGACGACAAGATTAGTTCTTGAACACGTGTAAAGGTAGATTTGAAGATGCTGTATACCTCGTGTACTACAACTTTATCGAAGAGTGAGAGCAAGTCTATGGGTGTGAATGGCCAGACCTTGGCGGAAATCTGCGCAATGGGACGACCTAGTAACCCCACCAGCTTCTGCCGCCATGTTCCGCAGTTCGGAAACTTCAGTCCTTGAACGTAAGACTGTTCTCCAAGCTCAGCATCAAGGAATCATGTAGGAGGGGAAAGACATACCAGGAACCATGGACAAAGTGTAATCTGGGATGGTTTGGTTGCATCATCGCTGACCCACGTGTAAGCCAGAGCGCCGATACAGATTTTTCTTGGATCCTCTTCATCATCGTCCACGAACTCGACAATACTCGTGTCTTTGATACGAGCATTGCCGTCCTGATCTGTGATGTCCCTGTATCTTTCCGACGAGCAGTAAAAGACCTTGTGTTGAATTAGTTTGAGTCGATTAAAGTGTATCCGATGATCCTCACCACGTCGCCTGCAACAGCTCTGGTCGCACCTGAGGGTCCACGAAGGTCTGCCGCCGAATCCGCCATGCTCGAAATACCTCGAGGAAACTGAAAATTGCTACCATCAGCTCTGTACTGGAAGTAGTCTACGCGCGCCTTGTTTCTCGGACAAGTTCCACCGAAGCGACCTTCAACATTGTGTAATTAGCTTGTCAGAACTGGACTTCATCATGACCGAGACATAGCGTACATAAGATTGCTTCTTGAGGTGTAGGATAAAAGGATGGATCAGCGGTTGGAGCCCACAGGTGGTCCATCAAAGTCTGAACTTCTTGTCTAATCGGCCCACGGAGCTCGGTGACAACATTCGTGGCCATATCAAAGGCACAGGTGAGCTTCTCGGCGAGAAATGCTTGGGCGACAAGATTGCAAGATGTTGTATCAATGACATAGGCGGTAGTTGTAGCGGTCAGGCAAAGAGCCGACAGAAAGTGAGTGGAATACATAATTGAAGCAAGTCCGCGTGTGCTCTCCGAACAGGAAGACCTTCGACAGGAAACTTTCTGCGGGTGAGGCAAGTATTTTGCCTTGTGAAACCCTCACTTGAGGCGATGTTTGGAAAACTATACGTGCACTCTCTCACACGCCACTAGACTTGTGATCTCAACGGCTAACCCCGAAGCTTTTTCGGCGACATACTCTGCTAAGGACGGAACAAGGATGGTAAACAAGGATGAACTCACATGAGCAGCAATTCATAAGCTCAGAAGGAAGGCAAGGATCACGGAACCAGAGAAATTGCAACACGGAGATGACTGACGTGAGATGAGGCAGATCATCAACCGATATTGTTTTTTGTCCGACGCACGAAATCCTTGTACGCCTTGGCATGGCCCCCACGCGGTCCGCTTACCTGACATAAGCGCTAAACCCTGAACTCCTGGTACCTGCATGCGGTTAATTTAGACTTCAACACGCTCCGACGACACTACTCTCTGACATGCGTAAAATCATTTCCTTTACATTATTCCATACCGGCCTTTCCAACCATCCCTGTTGCCCATATCGTTAGCTGTTGTGATATGAGAGCTCTCACCAAGGGGCTATGATACCACCCATGATATCCTTCTCTCGGACGGCCGAGGGACTTTTTCACTCGCAACGAAGATGGTGACGAAATATTACCCTCCATTCTCATAATCTATACTTTTTGCAGTTTTCTCTCAAGAACTTCAAGTTCTGGGGAAACATCATACAACACCCGCCAATATGATCTTTCAACGACATTTGTCGTCACTAGTTGCGACTTGCCTCTTGCTGCGACCTGTTCTCGGAGCCGGCGTGGCTACTTTCACTCTGGAGGAAGCCTCGTCCGTTACTCTGGTACCTCGAGACCTTCCTACAGATGTACCGCCTGGATCCATCACCTCTATTCCTGCGAATGGCATTGATATTTATCTGTCAGAGACTACTCAGAAAGCTGTTCAAGATGCAATCTCTGGAAGTTGTGGTACGACTGGCAGCCTACAATGTCAAACAGCCATACAGGCAGCGCTCAATACACAGAGTCTTCAAGCTGGACAATTGCAGCCACGTTTTGCTGGCCTGATTGTTGCTGGGCTAGCTGCTATCGTTGCAATCGTCATAGAGCATTACCGACTGAGCAACACTGCGGTCCCTTCCGCGATCCATCTTTCACCTGCACAGCTCAGTCAGGCTTCGAACATTGCAAGTGCTACAAGCGTGGTAGCAGTAGGTGGCTCCCAAACGACAACTTTCACCCTCCCACCGTCCCCAACGACGGTCACGTAAGTCATCACCCTATGCAGCTGTGAGGCTTGGGACTGATGCAAAGCCTGTGCAGTGCAGTTCCCACAATCAGCATCAATCCTAGCAGTGGAGATCTACACATCAGTCTTACTGATAGTCAAGCTCAATCGTTCATGACGATCATGGGCCTCCCGGGGACTTGCTCGAGCAGCCAATCGCCAGTGGGTATTGGCAGTACAAAGCGAGCCATCACAACCACATCAACCTGCCTCAGTCTCCACGCAAACGCGCTGATGTACAACTCTTTCTCCGGTAAGATCTCCAGCAGCATTAAAGTCAGAAGCTGATTCAAAGACTAGGCCTTGCTTCGGCTATTAGCTTGATGTTCCGGTCAGCGAGTCCTCCGAATCCGTTTCCAGGCTTCAGAAACGCCGCTGTTCAAGCAGAACAGACGGAATTTCTAGCCCAATGGGCGGTAGGTAATTTCCAGTCGGAATTGACAGTTCCTGAGCTAAATTCGCCTTATAGCTTGCTGCACCTGCATTTGGGGTCACTGTGGACCTTATGACAGCCATCGCAGGTGTCGCGTTCGCCCTCTCATATATCTGGTGGGTTTACTTCCTCATCCCTGTCCAGTGACTAACGCAGCGGTCTAGGACGTCTCTGAGCGTCGCTCTTAGTGTAGATAATACCATCTCAGGTTCATTAACAAAAACTACCACAGGGGACTGCCCTTCGCAAGAGGGTGACCCGGACAACACAAATCTGGTGTGCTCGCTGCCCTCCTGTTCAGGTAAGATGGTGGATAGCAAGCAAATTTGATACATGCTGATACACTTACTCAAGGCACATCGGACACGAAGCTTTGCACCGTCGATCCGTGGATAGACTGCACTTGCATGAATCCGCAGAAATCTAATCTCGAATACTATGACCTCGTCATGTTTGCGGACCAACCCGACGCACTCACGCAGTTCCTTGCTGGTCCACCACCAGATCCACCGAGCCCTTTGTTCTGCGTTTCGTCTAAACCGCCACTTGCTCCGGCATACTTAACGCCAAAATTGGGGTACGACACATATCCAGACTTCTGCAAAGGGATATCGCCCGGCGATACGTGGAATATCAACAGCACCTTCTTTCCTGATACCCCCGAGCACTTCGCTTTGCTCATTAACGGGAATATGGCATCTTCTAAATGGTCTTCCGACTTATGCAATCAAGCTTTCAAGTCCATCTTGGACAATTGCGACGGTAATGATCCTGTATGTTTACCTTGCATGTCTGAGAGGCCCTTGCTAACTTACGTAGTCCAACCCGTATGTGTGTAGTCTACCCCCAGTCAATGTAACCCTAACATTCGCAGCATGAACTACAAGTTTGGTGGCACATACACAACCCAAGGTCTTGAATTCAGAATTCAGCCAATATTTGATAATCGCGCCGTCCCGCTGCCTACAGCACCATCTTGGTCTTGTACAAGCAGCTACCATGGCTTCTATGACAATTTCGGTATCTTAGGTACGTAATGAGAGACATATGTACGTACTGCATTTCTAACATGTTCAGGCGTGGGATGGGCATCATCCGATTTTGGCAAAAACGCATTTTTCGGGGCCATAGCCAGCTGTATCGGGTCTAAGCCATCTGACTGGACTTTCGAGTACTTCCTTTATGATGGCACCCCGGACCAGCATTTCGGCTTCGAGTGGATTGCAAGTTTCCACACGCCAATCTGGGTTAACGCGCGCTGTTTCGACAACTGTAAGGTAGGGTCGAATGGAGGTGGACCAGCTTGGGGTGACAGTTGCCCAGGGTGTGGTGGAGACGGCTAAAAAGGAACGTGGGAGCATTTGAGTGTCATCGCGGACAATTCTGAAATTATCATTAGTTACGAGTGGAGGATGTTCAATCCATGTTGTTCTACTAACCCAGGGATAATCAAAGTTAGAGAGTGACGAAATATACCAACCATCTCTATACTATATAGAGGCTTAGGGCTATCATTATTTCATATAGGTATATACTGCTTATCCCACCAAAAAAAATGCGGCCGTATAGCATATATCTGGGAAAAACTTAGGGTAAGGGGCATGCTTTATAGCGCCCTTAATTTAAGAGCTATAAAGTTAATTATTTTTTTAATAAAACTATTATATTTAGGGCTTTTAAATACTATATTTATTTATATTCTAATATTAAAATTTAAGAAACTATAATTAATATAGAATAGGGATTATTTTTTAATATAATTGTCTATATATATATTATATAACTAAGTATATATTATATAATTAAATATATATTATATAATTGAATATATATTATATAATTAAATATATATTATATAATTAAATATATATTATATAATTAAATATATTAAAGATATATAATAATTAATTATAAGATATAATAATCTTTAGAAATAATATTTATATTTATAAGATAAAAATAGATAAATATTTCTTCTAAAAAAAGCTCTAAAATATATAATAATTTAGTTGTTTTTAATACCAGATAATTAACTCATAGTTAGCTATACTAGTAATATATACTAGATATAATTAATATAGTACAAAAGGTAATAGTTCATTTTTATTATTAGCTAGTCTAGCCATTTAATAAAAAGCTTATTTCGCCTATATAGTACGTATTTTGATATATTTATTGAATTATAGATTTGTATTAAAAGTAATTCCTAGCCACGTAATAATTTCTTGAGGTTTGATTTTATTGCCGTCTAATAGTATTAATATTATCTTTCTGGCCATACTACTTTTTAACTAGTAAATTAGTTCCGTTTTGGCTAAATCAAATTAAATACAGTTTTCTTTATTTAATTAAAAAAGGTCTTTTACTACTTACTCTAATAGTCGAATATTCTTAGTATAACTAGTTAATTTAGCTGTTATTAATATATTATTAATATACGAAAAGTAAATAACCCATTTTGACCTTAATAGTTTTCTTATATATATTAAAAACAATATTAATAATATGAGGCTTCCTTATAGTATTTCAGTAATAATTTCAGTGAATTCTTTAATTTGACTATTAAATACTAGTTAAAGTAGTCGATTTGTTATAAATAAATATATCTATATAATTAGACTAATTAATAGTTATAATTCTATTAATATTAATATTAGTTAATTCTTTATTATATAGTCAAATACTTCTTTAATATTAATAAATAATATTAATAATTTAAGCTCTTTATTTCGATTTGTTTTAATTTTATTAATTAATAATAGTATAATATTAATAGCTGACTTTTTAAGTTTATTACCTATTTGTAACAAATCTAATAAACTAGTAGTTTCGGCTTAATAGCTTAATCTTTTAGCTAATATTCTTTTGCTTATTTTGCCTAAATAGTTTAATAGTATAATAACTCTATAACTTTTTAAAAATAAATAATTCACTTTATTTAACTTCTTTAATATAGTACTAGTTACTTGTTTCTAATAAATAGAATAAATTCCTATATATATTAAAGCTATATATAAGTTATAAAATTCAATTGAAATAGCTTTATATATATGTAATATAATTATTTAATTAATTACATCTGGCCCTGGTATAGTACCCTTAATTTTAGTTAAATATACTTTATTTAATTTACTTTTAATTAACTTGTTTTATATCTAGCTACTTAATAATTTATATTAATTATAGTTTAATAAATTTAATATTAATAGTATTAAAAACAATATTATATAAAATACGTCTGATTTTTCTTGAAATGTTTTATTATATTATTATTCGTTTATTAATATTCTTATTAATAAGATTCGTTTAATTCATTTATTCTTTATATATTAAAGTATTTTAAATATTGACTTTAAATTCTCCTTTTCTAAGAATTAATTCCAATATATATATTTAGCTCGCTTAATTTTCAAAAAATACGTGTTTTTTGCCTTTAAATACTCTTGAATTATTTCTTGACTATTATAATTATAATTGAATGCTTTTCTTTACTTTTATATTATTTCTTTCTATAGTACTAATAATTCACTATTCTATTATAGTTTTATAGTTATACCTGAATTTAAAGTCGATATTGTCTCTTTTACTACTAGTTAAATTTTATAAATGAATTCTTTTATGAGTTTATTTAGTTCTACTATTAATTTACTATCTAGTTATACTAGTTATTTAACTTCTAGTTATAGTATTATAATTTCAATTAAATATTTTGAACTGCATTTATATTCAACTATTAAAAAGCTTTCTTTTAACCTTTATTAAAATATAGGCCAATTAGCTTTATTAATATTAAATCTTAATTAAATTAGTAAATTATTTATTGTATTATTTCGCTTTTTAATTCCTAGTATAATAAATAATATTCTTAAATAATCTAATCTAATGTTTTTAATTAATTACTAATTATTTACCTTATTAACTAAATTGTTTATAGTAAATATTAAATTGGGCTAATAAAACGTTCCTATATTAATATTGTCTTTATTAGATTCGTTTAATAATAACAAATTATAACTATTAATTTATTAAGTAAATTCTTCTATTCCTGAGGTTTTAAGATTAAAAGAGTTCTACTAATAATAATACAAATTAAAGTTACCTAATAATATTAAATTGTTTTTAAGGTAAAAGTTTGCTTTTAATATTCTATTAATAGTTTTACTCTTTTGTTTTAATTAGTTATCTTTATTATATATATTAATAATTTCTAGTTTTTATTTATCTTAAATAATATTAATAATAATATAGTCTGGATTAACTAATAATTTTATTAATATTATTACTAGTAATAAATATACTTTTAATATATATATTAATATTCTTAATCTTAATCTATTTAATATTATATTCTTTAATAGGATTTAAGTAAATCCTTAATAAGCTATTAACTTTGGTTCGTTTATATTAATAATTATAGCTAGTTCTTAAATATATATTATATTAACCTTTAATTTAACTATAAGTTAAAAAGTACTTTCTATAATTTAATTACTTTAATTCAAATTTACTTATAGTATTCGTGAATTATTACAAATTATATATTAACTATTTTATGAATTATTATAGCCTTTAATCCAGTTAAATTAATTGAATTTATATTAAGAATAATATTATTTCTTTTTTAATTTATTTAAAGTTTATATTATTCTTCTTTATAAAACCTTAATTATTTTAACTAAAATTCACCTATATTACTTATAACTATATTATAATTCAAAAGATATATTAGCTAGTTATATAATATTTTATTTGCCTTTAAACTAGACATTTTTTATTAATTTTATAAAGTAATAATATTAATTTTCTTTTACCTAATTTAATATTTATATTATTCTTTTTTATAAGTTCTTTATTATTTTAATTAAGATTTACCTATAATATTAATAAATATATTATAAATTATAAACTTATTATTTTAAGAATTAATAATATTTTATAACCTTTAAATATAGCTATATAATTGTCTTTATAGTTTATATACTTTAATATAATATATATATACTTTTTGCTCTTTATTTTATAAATAAATTAATAGTATATTTATATAATATATTCTTTAGTATATATACTATATTTAAGTAAATTTTAATAATAGCTATTTAAATAGCCGAATCCTTAATATTTGCTATATTAAGTAGTTTTTAATATAGAGTAATACTTTTATATATATATACTAATTCTAG